GGATGTGGGGAGGGCAGAGAGAGGGGACAGTGAGCTCATCTGGAATTAACTCAAGTCGGCCTGCTCCCCCTCACAGAACTGCTCAGCATCCTGGCTGCATTGGTGCTCCCGCCAGCCTCAGTGGTGTCCCCAGGCAGAAACCACAACTCCTCACACTCACCTCTTCATAGCTCGTTCACTTGTCTGCCCCAAGTTCTGTTTGCAAGGCAGAAGGACAGAGGCGTCCCTCACTGCCTCCCAGAGCGCACGTCAGCAGGAAGGTGGGTGAGAAGCAAAGCCCTCCAGGGCTCAGCCTGCCCTGCGTAGCACCACTCCACCCCTCACTCGGTTACCTGTTGGCCTGCTCCTGCTCTCAGCCTGTCCAGGCCGACAAGGTGTTTGTGACAAGCAGGACTGCCCTTCACTGTCTGTGACCTTTCTGCAACTTTGCGGTGTTGGAAGCAGACTCAGAACCTTTGGCCTGCTCATTGATCATAAAACTTGGGTGTAGAGCTGTGAGTTTGTGTAAGTTACAGCGTGTACTGCTGTTGCTGACACAAGCACGAAACAAACAGAACATTTTAAAGAATGGGGTGATGGAAATCAAACATTAAAATGATTGTGTTTAACGTGAAGAGCTTTTGTAATCAACAATGCTAATCTATTGAATATATGTCACTGTTGAAGCTTTCAGTGTGAAGTGTCCGAGTGAGCTGTGGGGTTTGGTGACCACACAGCCGGGAAAGGCACTTCAGAAGCAGACAGGGATCAGGCGGGGGAAATGCCTCATGATTTGTGTGGGTGTTTGTCTCCTTCCACCTTTTGAAGGACAGGCCCTTGGACCCGCTGCCCTCAGCGCCCCTGCTTTTGCTTTGCTCAGACCTGTGACCCCTTAGACCATGAACGCCTTGAGGACCAACTGAGCAAGGAGACCCAGGAGAACTAGTCGTGATTAGATTTCCTCTGTGAGCGGAGCAAGCACCCCAGTCTGCTCCAGGCATCTGACATCTGTCGCGTTATCTGTTTTCAGCATCTTAAATCAATGTCTCCCTGCCTGCTGTCCACCTGTCATTTTCACCTGGAAGTGGACTGGGCCAGTGACTGACAACCAGAACCCGTAGGTGGCTGGTAGGCCGACAACCCTGTGGTCCCTGCAGTTTGCAGGTGCCTGGACCTCGTCTCTTAGCTTGGCTTCGCTTAGCTGAGCTCTGGGGGCTGATGTTCTCACTGACCTCAGAGGACATAGCACGGAACTGGGCGTTCCAGTTAAATTTGGATCCACCACAGCCTGGTGACTGGTCAGCAGTCCATCCCCTCCCCTGGACCACAGCTGGAGGTTTCACCAGAGGCAGTGAGGGAGTATTTATTTATTTATTTATTTATTTATTTATTTTTAGAGAGTATTTTTGTTGGGATGGCAGAGTTAGAGAGATAGGGAGCAAGAGATCTTCCATCTGCTAGTTCATGCCCCAGTTAACTGCAAAGGTTGGGGCTGAACCAGGAGCTTCTTCCGGGTCTCTCACATGACTGCAGGGGACCAAGGACTTGAGCCACAAGCAATGAACTGGAGCCGAAACAGCGGAGCCAGGACTAGGACCAGCACCTGTACCGGATGCTGCTGCTCGGACGGAGGGTTGTTCTGCTGAGCCCCAGCACTGGCCCTGAGGGAGTTTGCAGTGTCCTGCTTCTGAAGCAAGGCTGTAAGCCAAATGAGTGAAGTCTCCAGTGTGGGCACCGTCGGCGCCATTGCCTGGGATGGCAGTGACGGCAGTGATGGAGGGCAAGCTCTTTCTGTCGCGTGGATGGCTAGTGGACAGGCCAAAACCTGGCCAGCAGGCTGCCTGGTGTGCAGGGCTGGCCAGGCTGGCCAGTGTGTGCTTTCCTCACCGCCCTCACTGCTCCTGCCTGTGCAAGACACACAAGGTGATGGGGAGCTGTGGCCCCCGTGGGTTGGATAGGCAGGATGTGCTGTCCCTCGTGTCCTGGAAGTGCTAATGCCCTGCGAGAGGGTGATGACACTGAAACAGACACTGTGGGCAGAGGGCACGTTGTAAACCTGGCAGCCGTGCAGGGCCTGGACGCAGGGCCTGGTCTCAGGGCCTGGACTCGGGGCCTAGACGCAGGGCCTGGACTCGGGGCCTGGACGCAGGGCCTGGACACAGAGCCTGGACGCAGGGCCTAGATGCAGAGCCTGGATGCTGCTCTCCCCAGCCCGCTGTTTGTTTGCCTTACCTTTTAATTGTGGTTTCATTGTCTCTTATCTAATGCTTCTGTTGCTCTCAGGGTGCCTTTTCAGGTGGTCTGGAGGACTTCCTGGAGGCCCTCAGGGTTGAGGGCTCTGCTTGGCTGGCAGCCCCCACCCCCAGTGCTAAAACGTGACCTAACGCTGTGCATTGTGTGGGGACTGCTGTTCCTGCCTCCTGGCGGGTGGCTGGCTGAGCATTGTTTTGAAGTTAAGTTCCAAATACCAGCCCATCTATTCTCCAGCTGTTGTTTATCCACCAGATTCCTGGAATAGTCGGGCGCCAGGGCTTTTTTTCTTTTCTTTTTTTTTAATGAGCTTTGTGCTGCTGAGCATTTTGGGGGATAATAATTAAACACTCCTTAGGGCTGGAGTCGTCCTGTGCATAAAGCCACCAGCTGCCACACTAGCATCCTATGTGGGCACCAGTGCATGTCCTGGCTGCTCCACTTCCAGTCCAGTTCCCTTCCGATGGCCTTGGGAAAGCAAAGGAGGATGGCCCGAGTATTTGGGTGCCCGCCAGCCTTGTGGGAGTCCTGAATGAAGCTCCTGGCTGGCTTGCGTGAGGCCCAGGCCTGGCTGTTCACAGCCGTGTGGAGAGTGTGACTAACCAGTGGATGCGCTCTCTTCTCTCCCTTTGTTTATGTAACTCTGACTTTCAGAGAAACGCACCTCAGATAACAATAATAATAACTGCGTGGACTCTGGGTCACCTGAGTGGGATGCTGTTCGTAAGCCCAAGAATGGCACCGGGGCAGTGTTTGTTTTAAAACTTATTTTTATTGGAAAGGCACATTAGATTTACAGAGAGAAGAAGAGACAGAAAGATCTTCCATCCACTGGTTCACTCCCCACATGGACCCAACAGCTGGAGCTGAGCCGATTCAAAGCCAGGAGCCTCTTTGGGGTCTCCCTCGTGGGTGCAGGGTCCCAGCTAATTGGGCTGTCTTCCGCTGCTTTCCCAAGCCACGATCAGGGAGCTGGAGTGGGGCAGCCAGGACATGAACTGGCGCCCATATGGGATCCTGGTGCTTGTAAAGTAAGAATTTACCAGCGAGCCACGGTGCCAGAGCCAAAACAGTGGTCTTAAGCATGGCTGTCCGTCAACTCTTCAGCCCCCTCAGCCTCGCTCCCTATCGCCTATGGGTAACATCCGCCTTAGGGCCGTCCAGGGTCTCAGCTTCTCAGGTGTTGCTGGTTTCATTAGATAGTGCAGGGGGCCTGCAGTGAAGTCTCACCCCTACCCACCTGTCACATCACCAGGTCCTTGGGCATCCTTTTTGGGACCTTTCATCTAGACTGCCTGCCCTACCCGTGCCTTTCTGTGTAGGAGCAGTCGCACGTGCACCCTTGTGCTGCTCAGTCGCGGTGGGGTCAGCAGTGCAGGTGTTCTGAGGACTGGGTACACCTCTCACAGTCTCTCACCCGACTTCAACTCCTCAGGGTGCCCGCTGGCCCCTGTGTCGTCACCACCCAGATTACACTGGGCATTTTCACACCTGCCCCTCTGTGCCCAAAACCCCACTGTTGTCACTGTGGTCTGCGGTGGCATAAACCAGAGACCCTGTCTGCTCGCTTGCAGACCAGGCCATCTGTCACCAGCAGGCCAACCTTGCTTCCCTCAGTTTCTAATCGGTCACCTTCCCCACATCCTCATCTGCCTCCAGCTGGGCCTTCTTCATCCCTCCGCGGGTTGGTTTTCCAGTGCCTCCACTGTCTTTGCTTACCTTGCACTCTGTGTCCCACCCAGAGGGATCTGTCAGAACCCCAGACCCGATCATGTTATTGCTGTGCCTGGTGCCCTGTGTTGGCTTCCTAGCACTCTGAGGATAAAGATCGACCTGGTCGTTTCACACTGTGGGCCCATGTGGACCAGCCCCTGCAGGCCTGGCCGGCCTGTTTTCACTGCAGTCAGGCTGCAGGAACCAGGCTTGCCCAGCTTTGTCTGCCAGAGCCTTCCCCTGCTGCTGCTCCGCTGGCCAGCCCAGCTGGTTATCTCTGACTCATCTTTCGGATCCTGGGCTGCACTTCCTCCAGCCCTCCCCAGACTGGGTCAGGTCCCAGTTAAAGCTCACAACTCCTTTTCCTCATTGTAGTCATGAAGGTTGTGACTTCCGGGACATCTGATCGTTGAATTGGTGTTTGTTTCAGTTCTTGTTATTGGTTTGGGATAGTCTCTGGTTCGTAGGCAAAAATCTTGTAAACTATGAAGGCTTCTGATAGAACGTAACTTTTAAGCAATTGCATGTTGAGTTGAAGTCATCCTTTGATGTGTGGTGTGTGTGCTTGTGAATGATGGCTGACTCAGGCACCCTGGGGGTCCTAAACCGGACGATTGTTGCGTTTAGGGGCAGTGTCTGGGCCAGAGCACTCCAAGGGCAGAGGGCCTGCAGGAGGCTGGAAAGATCCAGACAGACCCTATCCCCAGGTGCTTCACAGGGCTGTATTTATTTTTTTTTTCCACAGTGCTATTTATTTATTTATTTGTTACGTGTGTGTTTGTGTGTGTGTGTGTGTGCGCGCTGTTTTGGTTTTTGGTTTTTGGTTTTTGGTTTTTGTTTCTGCAAGTAGCTTAATACTGTTTTAGAAGCATATCCTATCGGGATGGCTGCAACTCTTCCTTTAAATCTAAGATAGAAAACCAAGCATGTGTTTTCTCCTAACACTTCCCTCCTCTCTAGGGACACCTGCGAACAGGGTGGGGTCCTCCAGAAGGTCAGCAGCTCGGTCCATGCTCCCCCACTGACCAGGAAATCTCTGTGTCTCTGCTTTGTCCCAGGAAACTTGTAGAAAGTGCCAAGGGCTCTGGAAAGAACACAACGGCCTCACCTGTGAAGAGCTGGCCGAGAAGGACGACATCAAGTACAGGACATCTATGTAAGTGGTGGGCCTGAGTGTGCCCTGGGGGCCTGAGTGTGCCCTGGGGGCTGCTGAGTGTGCCCTGGGGGGCTCTGAGTGTGCCCTGGGGGCTGCTGAGTGTGCCCTGGGGGGCTCTGAGTGTGCCCTGGGGGCTGCTGAGTGTGCCCTGGGGGCCTCTGAGTGTGCCCTGGGGGCCTCTGAGTGTGCCCTGGGGGCCTCTGAGTGTGCCCTGGGGCCTCTGAGTGTGCCCTGGGGGCCTCTGAGTGTGCCCTGGGGGCTGCTGAGTGTGCCCTGGGGGGCTCTGAGTGTGCCCTGGGGGCCGCTGAGTGTGCCCTGGGGGGCCTCTGAGTGTGCCCTGGGGGCCTCTGAGTGTGCCCTGGGGGGCTCTGAGTGTGCCCTGGGGGCCCCTGAGTGTGCCCTGGGGGCCACTGAGTGTGCCATGGGGGAGCAAGTTCAAACCGCCAGCCTGGCGCCTGGCCACAGAGCTACTTCAGTGACTTTACATGGCTGGCAGGTAGAAATTTGGGAAATGTTGGTCCCCTTCTTCCTGTGCCGAGGTAAAGCAGCAAGTAGCACAGCTGATTTAGATGAGAGTACACAGATAGCCCATGTGTCTGTGTCTTAAGTCAGATTTTTTTTTTTTAAGATTTTATTGAATACAGAGAGGAGGAGAGACAGAGAGGAAGATCTTCCATCCGATGATTCACTCCCCAAGTGAGCACAATGGCCGATGCTATGCAGATCCGAAGCCAGGATCCAGGAACTTCCTCCGGGTCTCCCACACGGGTGCAGGGTCCCAAGGCTTTGGGCCGTCCTCTACTGCTTTCTCAGGCCGCAAGCAGGGAGCTGGATGGGAAGTGGAGCTGCTGGGATTAGAACCAGTGCTCATATGAGACCCCAGGGCGTTCAAAGCGAGATCTTTAACCGCTAGGCCACGCCGCCGGGCCCAAGCTCAGGATTCTTATCTCTGTGTATGTGTGAGTGTCTGCGTTGTGTTCACATTTACCCTACGTTGGAAAGACGTTTTTCCTTCAGTTTTGAGGATTTTCTTTTTAACTTCGTTGTGGAAGCAGAGTGACAGACTATGGGAGAGAGAGAGTCTCCACCCACTGGTTTACTTCTCAGATGATCACGGGGCTCTTACTGGGCCAGCTGGAAACCAGGACCCTGGAAAATGATGCAGGTCTCCCATGTGTGTGAACCAAGTACCTAGGCCACCTTCCGCATTAGCAGAGAGCTGCATCACAAATGGAGTAAGCAGGACTTCAAGTGGCCCTCGTGCAACACCAGTGTCACTAACACGGTGTGACATCATCACAGTGCAACAATGCAATGCAACAATGCTGGCCCGCCCTCTTCCACCCCTCTCTCTAACTTATTTTCTGGGCCTGGCGCCATGGCCTAGCGGCTAAAGTCTTTGCCATGCACGTGCCAGTATCCCATATGAGCACTGGTTCTAATTCTGGCGGCCTCACTTTCCATCCATTTCCCTGCTTGTGGTCTGGGAAAGCAGTAGAGGATGGTCCAAAGCCTTGGGATCCTGCACCCATGTGGGAGACCCAGAAGAGGCTCCAGGCTCCTGGCTTCATATCAACGCAACTCCAGCCGTTGCAGGCACTTGGAGTGAATCGGCGAACAGAAGATTTTCCTCTCTCTCTTCCTCCTCTTTGTATATCTGACTTTGCAAAAAAGATAAATCTTTAAAAAGATTTATTTCATTGGAAAGGCAGCTCAGATTCACGGAGAGAAGGAGACAGACAGATGGGAAGATCCTCCAAATACTGATTGATTCACTCCCCAAATGGCAGCAACGGCCAGAGCTGAACCGATCTAAAGCCAGGAGCTTCTTCTCGGTCTCCCACACAGGTGCAGGGTAAAGGCTTTGGGCCGTCCTTTCCCACACCATGAGCAGGGAGCTGGATGGGAAGTGGAGCAGCTAGAACATGAATCGATGCCCATAGAGGATCCTGGTATTTTCAAGGCGAGAATTTAGCTACTGAGGCATTGTGCCAGGTCCTACCCCCACTGGTCTTAGCAAGTTCTAGAGGCCCAGCCTGACTCCAAAACAGACACTATTTATAGCCTTTTGTTGGTGCCTTCAAGTCCTTTACTGAAAGTGAGGTACAGGTGGCAAGTAATGGCAGTTAGCTAACAGTCACCAAGTCTCCATTGCCCTCGTGTGACTAAGGAGGTGCCTGGGGGGCAGAGCAGTAGGTGCTGTAGCGAGGATTACCCAGGCTGGTGGGCTTCTCTCTGCTTGTGCTACAGGAGGGAGAATAACGGCTCCAAAAATGTGCATCCCCTACTTCCAGAACCTGTGAATGTTACACTGCCTAACGAAGCAGTTGTCCTGGTATGTGTGGGGTCATTGTGGCCTGGAAACAGACCCGTCAGACCCAGTCTGATGACGAGTGCTTGAGGTACAGAGCCCCTCCGAGCTGTGGGGGGTGCAGCGATGGAGGAAGCCCCAGATCTCCAGTGGCTGGCCCTGCGGCAGCCTCGGCCATGCAGCCTCTCGGGCTCTTGCCACCGAGAACGTGGGCCCCTCAGGCCTGCAGCCTTCAGGGGCTGAATCCTGCGGACAACCCAGATGAGAAGTAGCAGATTGTCCTACCCCACCCCACCCCAGGAGCTCAGCTCATAGGCAGGCAGGTGAAACACTCCAGGACTCCGCAGTAGTCACAAGACTTGTCTCCAGAGAGAAGGTTCATGGTGCCTCTCCCATCAGCTCCTGCCATGCCTTACTCAGCATCTGGTGTGCCATGGACACTTGCCTTAACCTTGGACCTTTATGCTAGCAGCGTGTCCATCACCAATGGATGACTCGGAGCAGGACCTCCAGATGTGGCTCGTGTTGATTTCAGAGTCCCACAAAGGCCCTCTTGGTTGTTGGGCAGCTTCCTTGGTGGCAGGGGATGCAAGCCTAGAGCAACATGAGCTTCGCTGCTACGCACTGCTGACCACCAGCACATCCTAGGCATGCTTGTGTAGCTGAAGGGCTTAGCTCCCTTCTGGGCTCACGGCCCTCGTTGATGTACCTGGAGCAGCAGTTAGCTGTTCTCTACGCTGTAGCTGCTAGGCATTGGGGTACCAGGCCAGTGTGCTCTCCTGAGAGGTAGGAGGTGTTCAGGTCTTTGTCAGCTGCTGGTGCTCTCTGCCTTCTGAACAGAGAACAGAAGGTATTTTCCAGAATAGTAGCTGTTTTCCTAGTGCCGTGGACTGTGTGTAGGAACCAGTTTCGGGAATGACTGCAGTTCATTCTTAGCAGCTTCAGCTCCTGATAGCATCCTCGCAGCCTAAGCGTGCTTCTGAAAGGCTAGACAGAAAGGAGTTATTGCCTCAACCTCTCCCCTCCACGGTTCATATCCCACATGCCTGCAACAGCCGGGGCTGCAACTGAGTCTGAGTCTCTGGGTGACAAGGCCCGGCCATGTAGCCATCCTCCCCTGCTGCATGCCACGTCGCTCGTTCGCAGAGCGCTGGAAAGGGGGCAGAGCCAGGACTCCAACTGGGATATGATATCGGAACCACAGCGCTAAATTCCCACAGGAATCTGCTGTGCTTTTCCAGAGGGGTTATTCCAAGGGCTTTTCTTGGCTTCTGCCACAAAATACTCCTTTATCCGTGGATTTCTGGCAGTTGCCAAGTGTCAGGAAAACTTACAGGGGACAAACAAGGATTTCTTTTTTTTTTTAATCACTTTTTTATCTTCATTATAATTTTATTTTGATAATCTTTACATAACTGATTAGGGCACAAAGGCTCAAGGGCTACATGAAAGTGGCTAAGACCATTGTTTCCACATTATTATGTTTTTCTTTTTTTTTTTTTCTGTTTTATTTATTTATTTATTTAAATGGTCTGCCCCCATCCCAGCCTATGCTCTCCTGTGGAAGTAGCTGTCCAGCACAGGAACCCTCCCTTATTCCCCTGCCGGCTCTGCCCCCTCCCTTCCTTGTTCTCACGCTGGTTGGGCGCTGTGGTCCCTTCCTGTACAGGCAACCTCACCTTGGCATTCCGTATTGTGTACTAGTCTTTGTTGCGACCGAACCTGGCTCGACCCACACTGGCACCTGGATTTGCCAGTGGATGACGTGGACAGATTCAGCCTGGTCTTCCCCCAACCCCTGCCAATTGTATGCCAGTGGGTAACTCCATGGCCTGTTCTGGGCTGTTTCCTATTATATTTCTTGCGTTTACCTGCCGGGTCTGTGTCCTGCCAGAGGAGTTGCCCAGGCTCCTCCATCAGAACCTCTCCCAATACCAGGTTTCCCATAAGCCAGCCCTACTCAGTCCACCTCCTGTCATAGCAGGAACTGTGGCTTTTCCTGACTGGCCTTCAACCCAATCTGTTTCTTGCTGTTTCAGCCCAGCCATGGTTTGTCCATACCCACATATGGCTCATACATGGCTCACTAGGGGTTTAAGACCTTGCCTAGGTGGTGGGTCTCAGGACAGGGTGTCTCATGCAAACAGGGACTTCTAAGCATGCAAGTACAGTGAGGTCAAGCTTGGTCTTAACATGTTAAGAAGCCTTGGGCCCAGCGGCGTGGCCTAGCGGGTAAAGATCTTCGCCTTGAACGCACCTGAATCTCATATGGGCACCGGTTCTAATCCCAGCAGCTCCACTTCCCTTCCAGCTCCCTGCTTGTGGCCTGGGAGAGCAGTTGAGGACGGCCCAAAGCCTTGGGACCCTGTACCCACGTGGGAGACCCAGAAGAAGTTCCTGGATCCTGGCTTCAGACTAGCATAGCATCGGCCATTTTGCTCACTTGGGGAGTGAATCATCAAACGGAGGATCTTCCTCTCTGTCTCTCCTCTCTGTATATCTGACTTTCCAATAAATGAACAAATCTTTTAAAAAAAAAAAATACATGTTAAGAAGCCTTAACCAATAAGTGGTGAAAGCTGCAACAGTTTTTATTCTTTTTTTCATATGAAAGTTTTTGGAACTGACTGGCATCATGGTGGCATAGTGAGTGAAGCTGCCACCTACAATGCTAGCATCCCAGCTCCTCCACTTCCAAATAAGTTCCCTACTAATGGCCTGGGAAAGCAGTGGACGATGGCCCCAAGTGTTTGGACCGCTGCCGCTCACATAGGCAAACGAGGTGAATCTCCCAGCTGTTGGATCCGTCTGGACAGTGAGCCAGCATCTGGAAGGTCTCTCTGTAACTGTGACTTTCAAACAAACTTTTTTATTTTCTTGCAAAGTCAGATAGGAGGAAAGACAGAAAGGAAGATCTTCGTCCGGTGATTCACTCCCCAAGTGACCGCAATGGCCGGTGCTGTGCTGATCCGAAACCAGGAGCCTGGATCTTCCTCCAGGTCTCCCACGCAGGTGCAGCGTCCCAAGGCTTTGGGCCGTACTCTACTGCTTTCCCAGGCCACAAGCAGGGAGCTGGATGGGAAGTGGGGCTGCTGGGATTAGAACCAGTGCCCATATGGGATTCAGGTGCGTTCAAGGCAAGGACTTTACTCGGGCCCTCAAACAAACCTTTAAAAAAAAGTTCATTAAGTCTAGCTCTGACCACTAAGCTAACAGACTTCAGCAACCACACCCAACAGAGAAAATATGATCATTACAAAAATAGTTCAGAAAAGTCACCACACACAGTCACAAACCCCACAAGACCCAAGCTGATTTTCACATTGCAGAACACCTAGTTCTCAACAATAATTTCCAAGAAAAACAAGCCTAGTCTGTTCATTGAAGTTAAAGCGACCGTCAGAAACCAGCCCCGAGGACGCAAAGGCGTTGGACTCCCTGGACACACTCTTAAGTCGGCTGTCCTCAATGTGCCCGAGAGCCGCAGGCCGCCAGGCACACAGCATAGGGACAGGCAGACAGTGTCAGTAAAGAGAAGGCGACGAGCAGCTGCTGGGAGTACTGTCCTGGGAAGTCACAACTACTGAAATGAGAAACCCCACGAGAGAATAAAGCAGCAGAGTTGAGCAGGAGAAGGAATTGGAGCCTTTGAAGATAAGTTTGTGGAAATTACCCAGTTGGAAGAGCAGGGGGGGAAAAAAAGAATTCAATAAAAAGAGCTGAAACTAGGGACCGATGGGACACCTTCACGTATGCTCGTTCATGTTAGGGAACTGCAAAGGGACAGAACGAAGGCAGAAAAATATTTGAAGAAGTAATGGCTGAAAACTCAGCACATTTCAGTAAGTGCATGAATGTGCACGCATCTAAGAATCTGAACAAACATGAGGTAGGATAAAATTCAAAGAGATCTGCAAAACCGAAACACATCATTCCTTGAATGCCAAAGACAAAGAGAAGACACCTTGAAGAGCAAGAGAGAACATCCCAACCACAAAACATTTAAAGATTTATTTCTTTTTGTTGGAAAGGCCGATCTACAGAGAGAATGAGAGACAAAAATCTTCCATTCACTGGTTCACTCCCCACATGGCCATAACGGCAGGTGCTGAGCCGATCTGAAGTCAGGAGCCAGTAACTCTTCCAGGTCTGCCACGCAGGTGCAGGGTCCCAAGGCCTTGGGCTTTCTTCGACTGTTTTCCCAGGCCACAAGCAGGGAGCTGGATGGGAAGCAGGGCTGCCAGGATTAGAACTGGCGACCATATGGGATCCCGGTGCATTCAAGGTGAGGACTTAACCACTACACTATCACTCTGGGCCCTACATGGACGAAACTTGAAAGAAACGAGACAGCAGGCCCCGTCTATACAGTTTCTGTTTATAGGCAGTTCTGACTTAACAGTTGACATATAGTTTTCTGAGTTGTTTATTTTATTTTACTTTGTGGTGAGTTTGTCATAACATCCCCAGAAGTCAAGGATCATCTATATATATATGAAATACTATAGGCACAACATGAAATCGCTAATTCCAGAGTGGGCACCTAGCTGACTAAGATGCCCAAGTCCCTGAGTCCAGAGGCGGTGCCCATGGCTCCGGGTGAGAGACCCGTCTCGGCTTTAGTTAGGTACAGAACCCAAACATGGAACCACTCCCTGCCTCTCCCTGTCCCCCTCTTTCCTCCCCTCTACTTTCCCTCCCTCACTTCCCCTTCTGAACAAAGTAAGCAAAATACGATAGTTTAGGCAGTCAGTGCCTTATACTCCAAGAAAAAAGCATACACGTACATAACATGTACACACGTGTAAGATTTTAATTGGCACATGCCAAGATCTGAGCACTGCCTTGGGTTAGTGGGGTCAGAGGTCACAGACTGGTGCCTAAGCAGGGTCCTGGGCTTTCCTGTTTGAACACAGAGCCGCACTCGCAGCCGCGGCTCAGGCTTCCTGTCCTCCCCCAAGGGACACATCCTGTGGGCTGTTTGTTTCCTGCCTCCTTCAGGATCTGGTTGCCAAACCACTCTACCCCTAGAAGAATCAACGATGATTTGTCCCCCAGCTCAGGGGTTTGCTGTTGCTGGACTGGAGTTGTAGTCACCACATCCTGTAATAGCAGTCCTTTTTTGGTAAAGGGCCATTGTGGCCCTGTCCGTTGCTGTTTGAATAGCTCTCCATGCTGTTGCAGGTAGCTGTCCAAACACAGGGCCATTGTGGGCTGTGTGTACTCTGCGCTGCCCCCGGGTTAGGAGGACCTTTCCTGCCCTGCACGCCACTGTTACTGCGCCTCTGACTGAGGCTTAGTGAACCCTCTCCTGCCAGTGCTTTGGGGAGAGGTGGTGTGGCCTGCATGCTCTGCAGCCCAAGCAGCTGCCTGGGAACCCCGTCAGCCAGCAGGTCCCAGCTGAGGGCCAAGGCCAGCCTCCAGGGGGCTCTGACAGAGTTTATGCTGAGGAAGACTCCACAGCTTGCAAATCACAGGCATTATCAGAGTGCCATTTTGGGTCTCTGCTACTCCACTTCCTATCCACCTTCCTGTTTCTGTGCTTGGGAAGGCAGCAAATGATGCCTGAAGTTCTTGGGCCCCTGCTGCCCGTGGGAGACCTGGAAGCAGTTCCTGGCTTCTATTGTCAGACTGGTCGAAATCTGGCAGTTTCAGCTGTTTAGGCAGTAAGCTAGCATGTGGAAGATCTTCTACCCCACACTGCCCCGTAAGTCACGTGGTCTGTGTCTCTTGCCTGCAAAGAAGTGTTAGCAGCCCTTGTACAGTGGAGCCGCTAGGAGCCTTGGAGGGGAAAGCTGGTGCTCCTAGTAGAGCAGTCTGCAGATCAGAACCCCGTCCCACCTGTTTCCAGCCAGGGCCTCGGAGCTTCCAGAACAGGTGGAGTGGGCGCATCCACAGGCCAAGCGGGCGATGGTTTCCAGAAGGAACAGCTTGGAAGCACCTGGCTGCACAATGCTGCTCACGACCAGACAGCCCGTCACTAAATCTGGTCGTCCAGCCCTGCCTGCCTGCTCCAGTGCTACAGATCTGCCTCCCAGCCCCTGCCTGTGTGGGTGTGGAGCACAGAAGCCCATAGCATTCTTAAGTAACAGTCTTCAAGTACCACAGACCAGATTGCTTTCTGAGTCTCCAGGTAGTTGATTAATTCACCCAAAGTTATGTAGTTGGCAAACTTTTAAAAAAATATATATATATATATTTTTTTTTTTTTAATTATTAAGTCAGGGCCCGGCGCCGTGGCCTAGTGGCTAAAGTCCTCAATGTGCCAGGATCCCACATGAGTGGCGGTTCTAATCCCAGCAGCTCCACTTCCCATCCAGCTCCCTGCTTGTGGCCTGGGAGTGCAGTCGAGGACGGCCCAAAGCCTTGGGATCCTGCACCCGTGTGGGAGACCCAGAAGAGGTTCTGGGTTCCTGGCTTTGGATCAGCGTAGCACTGGACATTGCACTCGCTTGGGGAGTGAATCATTGGACAGAAGATCTTCCTCTCCATCTCTCCTTCTCTCTCTGTATCTGACTTTATAATAAAATAAATAAATCTTTTTTAAAAAAATAGATTGTAAAGTCAGATTTACAGAGAAAAATGAAAGACAAAAAGATATTCTAACCACTGTTTCACTCCCCATGTCGCTGCAACTGCGCCAGTCCAAAGCCAGGAGCTTCTTCCGGGTCCCTGGGTGCAGGGTCCCAAGGCTTTGGACCATCCTCTGCTGCTTTCTCAGTCCACAAGCAGGGAGCTGTGTGGGAAACAGAGCAGCCGGGATGCAGACCGGCACCCATGTGGGATCCCAGCACATGCAAGGCAAACTAGTTCTGAGACTGGCTCTTTCAGTCTTTGAGTGTCATCAAGGCCGTGTTCAGCCCATGCCTGTGGGACTGCAATGTTCTTGTCTTTCTGAACGCGTAGTGACCAGTGTTCGTCTTCTCTCAGCGCCAGTCCTGTTTTCTTCTTTCAGAGAGGAGAGAATGACCGCCGCCCGCATTAGAAAATGCCACAAGTGTGGGACCGGCCTCATCAAGTCCGAGGGCTGCAACCGCATGTCCTGCCGCTGCGGTGCCCAGATGTGCTACCTCTGCCGAGTGCCCATCAGTGGGTACGACCACTTCTGTCAGCACCCACGCTCGCCAGGAGCGCCTTGCCAGGAGTGTTCCAGGTGCTCCCTCTGGACTGACCCCACTGTGAGTAGATGCGTGACCGTGCTTTGCTTTGTTAAGGGGAAGCCCTGTCCGGTCCCTCGGCAGGCGTTCAGTGGCTGCGTCGCACATGGTCATTCTGCAGAGACCAGGGGATCCTACGCACTGGCCATCACAGGAAAGATTGAGAGAAGGAACAAAAGCTATTCAGTTCAGTATGAAACAGCATGTGCTTTTTTGTAAAAGCAAATTCCTCATTTATTTAGGAAATTAAAGCTTTTCTGTGTTATCCAAAAACTCCAAGGCATGGAGAAGTTGTCGCTATGTTTCTGCAAGGTTGGTGTAATGCTGGTCTCAGTCCCAACAGGAGGGCCTCACAGAGGAAGAAACAAAACACAAGTGTGAATTCATGGATGGTTTCTGCCTTTTTTTAAGTTTTAGTTATTTTCATTTTACTTCAAAGACATCTTTCATCCACTGTTTGTCTCACACAGCCACAACAGCTGATGTTGGGCCATGCTGAAGCCCAGAACTTGGTCCAGGTCTCCCACGTGGGTATCAGGTACCCACCTTGTTTACCCATCACCTGCTGTCCCCGACAGAACCCATCAGTGGGCTGGAACTGGGAGAGAACCGCCCCATCCCGGAGCACTCTGGTGTGGCGTTCCAGCTGTCGTCTAAGCTGCCGTGGCAGAACATTGCACTTCGTGTGCCACTGGAGAGAAAGCGGTCAGAAGCCGTTCCTATGAAACCATGTGTGCCAGCCGTGTGAGCCATAGACGAGCGGAGAAGTGAAGGCCCGCAGGGAGCACAGAGCAGTATGTTGAAAACCGTAAAACTGTGTTGAGGGACATTGTCTGTAGAAGGCTTCATATTTAAAGGGCATCAGTTCTATGGAGGGTTCTGTGTTTTTCATCTACGTGAAAGGCAGTCACAGCGAGGGCAGTCTAACCCTGTGGCTCACTCCCCACATGTCCACAACACTTGGCTGGGACGGAGCCCAGAACTCCCTCCTGGCCTCACAGGTGAATGTCAGGGACGCGGCAGATCACCTTAGCCATGATCTGCTGCTTCTGAGGACGCGCTAGCAGGAAGCTAAAGCAGGCAGAGGAGCCAGGGCTCACATGGCACTTGAGGATGGGCCTGGGCAGCCCAAGCAGTGCTTGAATCCACTGAGCCACAAAACCCCTTCATTAAGGCATCGGGTGTTCAGACTTCAGGGGCACAGAAGGCAGTGCCTTGGCATTGTAAGGTAGATCTCTGCCTGCAGAGCCAGCATCCCACATGGGTGCCAGTTTGAGCCCCAGCCGCTCCATTTCCAATCCAGCTCTCTGCTTGTGACCTGGGAAAGAAACAGAGATGGCTTAGGTTCGTAGACTCCTGCACACACGTGGGAGACCCCAAGAGGGCCCCTGGCTTCAAATCAGCTCAAATCCAGCCATTGTGGTCATTTGGAGAATGAAGCTGTGAATGGGGCATCTCTCTCTGTCTTTCAAACAAAAGGAATTTAAGATTTGTTTATTCTTTTATACATTTGAAAGGCAGTTCAAACAGATCTTCCATCTGCTGGTTCATTCCCCAGATACCAACAAGTGCCAGGTCGCAGTCCAGACCTGGGAACTCATGTGGGTGGCAGGAAAACACCCACTGCCTTCCCGGGCACGTTACAGGAACCTGGGTCAGAAGCAGCAGGTAGGCCTCAGATCAGCTTCCGATAAAGAATGCCAACACTGCAAGCAGCAGCTTCACCAGCCGTGCCACAGTGCCAGCCGTGGCAGTAAGGCCTGTGAGTTAGTAAGGTAATTCTAAGGATCACTGGCAATAATGTGAGGCTTGTTGCAGCAAGCAGTGGTCTGCGGTGACCTGGAGCAGTGCATAGTGACGACTGTCTCTCAGCCTCTCCTGGGGAAGCGTGGGTGTGGCTTGTGTGGGTCCTCTAAGGTTTGTGCGCCACTACAGAGACGACCTCTGTTGAGTCACTCACCTAGAAATTTATTTTCTTTAAAAGTCAGCTGTAATGTGGAAAAGGAGACTAATTTTTAACTGTAAAATCACACTGGTCAAAGCTATCCTGACTGGGGCTGGTGTGATGGTTTAGTTAGCTAACCCTCCACCTCTAAGTGCCAGTATCCCATACAGGTGCCAGTTCATGTCCTGGCTGCTCCACTTCCCGTCCAGCTCCCTGCTTGTGGCCTGGGAATGCAGTGGAGGATGGTCCAAGTGCTTGGAACCTGGAAGAAGCTCCTGGCTCCTGCCTTCAGATTAGCTCAGCTCGGCTCCCCCATTGCAGCCATTTGGGACGGAAAGCTCTTTCCCCATATCTCCTTCTCCATAAATCTCCCTTTCCAATAGGAATACTTTTTAAATGTGCTGACACAAGAGTAGACAGAAGATGCTGAGGTTTGTCTGCTGCCTGTGAGGCCAGCATCTCATATTGCCGCTGGTTCGTGTTGCTGCTCCACTTTGGATCCAGCCGCTGCTGGTGCACCTGGGAAAGCAGCAGGCGATCCAAGTGGGCGGCCTGGATGGTAAGCCTTGACAGCAGCCCATGTTTCAGTAGCCTCAACATAGGAAACATTTACTTTTTTTAAGCTTTTTGTTTTGTTTTGTTTTTAAATTGGAAAGTCAGATATACAGAGAGGAGCAGAGAGAGGAAGATATTCCATCCACTAATTCAATCCCCAAGTGGCTGCAATGGTTGGATCTGAGCTGATCTGAAGCCAGGAGCTTTTTCTGGGTCTCCCACACAGGTGCAGGATCCCAAGGCTTCAGGCCATCCTCGACTGCTTTCCCAGGCCACAGGCAGGGAGCTGGATGGGAAGCGGGGCCACTGGGAATAAAACCAGTGCCCATATGGGATCCCACCGTGTTCAAGGCATGGACTTCAGCCGCTAGGCTACCATGCCAGGCCCAGAAACACATTTATATGTATATGTGCTAATATTAGGATAATGGTACAAAAATAATGCTCCAGGACCCTCGGAGCGCGCCTCCCGTGGGGGATCTGGGGTGGGTGGGAGGCTGGGTGGGCTTTGCCCTTTGTTACTCCCCTAACCCCAGATACAGGGAAAAGTGATAATATTAGTGAGGAAACAATGGTATTACCCACTTTCACCCTGTAGCCCTTGACCCTACCCTAATCAACTAAGATTATTTTTTTTAAAGATTTATTTTTTATTATGTTTTATTGGAAAGGTGGATAGACAGAGAGGAGAGACAGAGAGGAAGATCTTCCGTCCAATGATTCACTCACTCCCCAAGTGAGCGCAACGGGCCGATACTATGCCGATCCGAAGCCAGGAGCCTCTTCCGGGTCTCCCACGCGGGTGCAGGGTCCCAAAGCCTTGGGCCGTCCTCGACTGCTTTCCCGGGCCACAGGCAGGGAGCTGGAAGGGAAGCGGGGCCGCCAGGATAGAACCGGCACCCCTATGGGATCCCGGGCGTGCAAGGCGAGGACCTTAACCACTGCGCCACCGCGCCGGGCCCTAAGATTATTTTTAAAAAATAATAATCTCTAGATTTTAAGACAATTTTTGAGGAGAAATATGGAAAGATTTAGACATTAAAGAATGGGTCAGCATTTGTGCTAGTGACTAAGAGGTCCCAGCTCTATCTCCTCCCTCCAGCTGCTGGCCATTGGAGAGCCTGGCAGGCAGTGGTGCTGATGGCTCCCACCCTGCCTCCGCTGCGGCCTGAGTGAGCTCCCAGCTCCAGCGCACCAGCCACAGCAGGCGTTTACAGAGTAAATAAGCAGGCGGAATCCTGCTCGCTCTGTCTTGTCCAAGAAGAAAATAAGGGTCACAGGAAGGAGTTGTGTAGGAAATGAAGTGAGGGCGGGCTGTGGCCATCAGGAGTGCCTGTGGGCCCTGGAAGCGACTGCCGGAGAGCGCTTTCCTGGCTTTATTCTGCTTACTCAATCCTTTGTAAGACAGGCGAGGCTGTCCTTCCGCTGGTTTACTCACCGAATGGACGCAGCAGCTGGTGCTGGTCAGGCTGAAGGCAGTGTCCCCAGGGTGGCAGAGGCCCAGGAGGTTGAACCATCCTCACTGCTTCCCATGTTAGGAAGGGGCTGGACTGGACATAGCACTCCTGTGTGCATGGCTAGCAAGATGACCAGCGTCCAAATCCCGGGCCGGCCACATGGGAAAGTGACAACAGATCCTTCAGTTACCAGGGTGAGCTTCTTGGAGCTGCTTCCGTTAAAGGAAGTGCTAAAGAAATTCATGCCCCTCAGAGCTACACAGGGTTTTGAAAAGCTTGAATCCTCCATGGAAACTTAGGTGTATCAGAAATGTTATCAGGAGCAAGCTCCTCTCTGCACCCCTGCCCTAAGGAAATGTGTGGAAGGAGGGGAGAGGGAGGGCTTTGGTCGTCGTCCATCTCTGATGAAGTGCAAGTGTGGCCCCCTTTGGGGAGCCGTCACCGGTCAGTGTTCATTTGCCCGGCTGAGCTATGGCCGCCACCTCCTAACGTCCCCGCCCAGGGAGTATCTCCACCCTGGTGAGGAGCTAAGCAGGACCTTGCCTTCCTGCAGCTGGAGCTCACAGTCCCCCTCGGGCTGGGTTTCATTTTGGAAAAAGCAGTGAGGACAGGGACCGCACAGTCCTCCTGTCACCTCTGCCTGTTCCTTCTGCCACCACGGTGTCTTCCCACATGGACTCGTTCACAAGGGCTCTCATGGATGGCTGCCTCGTGTGAGTGTGTCCCCTGCAAGTGCCTCCTCTCTCCTGAGAATGATTCCTTATTTGCTCAAAATACAGTTTGAAAGGAAACTCAAGCAAATACAGACCCCTCCAATTTCCCCAGGCAGCCATAGCCAGAGATTTTGTTCCATGTGTCCGTTCCCATCAAAACAGGGATCGGCCCCGTTTCCTTGAGTCTCACCAGGAGGCTGATTGAATTCCAGCCCAGCATCTGTTGGGGCGTCTGAGAACACAAAGCCATTCAGAAGTTGAGTGAAACAAAGCACTCACTGTCGTGAGAGTCTGTTCTCGGGCTTAATGAACCAGCAGCGCTCGGAAGAATCTCTTATTTGTCAGCCAGGG